TTTTTGACTCTGGCATGCGGTTATGATGTAAAGGGATATAATTGGCAACAGCGCATCCGATAGGTCGCAACTCGTGTAGAACTCGGAAGCATAAGAGACGACAGCACCTTCACGCCTCTCTACTCAAACAGGGATAGCGCTATTGCCATTATGTCGCTCTCAATATATAAGTTATACCAGAAAGGAGAAATAAGTACTTGTATTTTTAACTTCTTTCAGTATATGCTAAGAGTGTTATTTAGATTCTATATAAGTTATTGGGCAATTCAGTATAAATTTTTGTGGCGTTATAATCAAGGGTAATTGCTAAATTTCTCGAACATTTTACAATTTGATTCTACATAATTTTAGCATTAGTAATCAATTGATTAAAGCCCTCGAGCTAAAGTTTTCGGGCTCTAATCAGATTATTAATGCCAAAAATTATGTCTCATCAAATTGATATTAAAATATTCTCGAGATTTAGATTCAACAAAAATAGCCGACTATTATCAAGGTCGTGTTATATTTGAGACGACTATTTCACTAGACCAAATACTGACTATTTCTCTAGAGAAATAATAAGTCGCTGATATTTGGTCTTGGGAGGTAGTCTAAATTATACCAGGTGTTTCACAACTTATAGAACAGTGTCTTACGTCTAAACGCTACACTTTATCAATGTTTTTTGCAGAATCATATAGGTCAAAAGTGCCGGCATTCTAAATGTAGTTTTTCCAGGTTTTCACAAAACACTTCGAAGTTAAGAATCTTGTATTTTATTGCATTTTAAAATTAATAAGATCGACTTTCTTAAAGCTTCCCTATACCAGACTATTAGGATTTTTGAATTGCTTTAATTCTTTATGAATGTGTGTTTAAAAAAAAACCATACAACAAAAACCACAGAAGTAATAAACTTGAAAATTTTTAATATAAATAATAATAGAAGCACTTTATTGGTTATGAATATTACAACCAAATGGCCATCGACCTAGGCCCTTCAGCTGGTACAATTTGTATGATATGTATGAGGATTTACAAGCTATATGTGTAAGATGAATACGAATATTAAGATACTTAAAAAAAATAACAACAATTATGTGGCATTAATTATTGTTCATCGGCAAATTCGTTTATGATTTCTGTTATTGATCTCACTGGGTATTTAAACTTTGCTTGACCAATTTGTCGTTGCATCGAAAAAATGTTTATTAGCATGTGATTGTTTCGTTTCTTCGAGAAATTTATTGACAGTTTTCTAATTCTTTCCAGGATAGGCTGAATCTTAGTTTTTTCGTAAAGATATTCATTCGCTGGATGGTAAGTGGGGTTTTCAGGATGTCGCATCTTGGTGATGATTCTTAGTGTAGAAGTTTCGACCACTTGAATGTTTTTTAATGCAGGTTTTCGGCGGTTTAAATATATAGTGTGACCGTATTCCAGGAGAGGTCTGCCAATTATTTTGTAGATTTTAGTGGCCGTGTAGATGTTAAAGGCCGTGTCATCTGCATATTGGAGTGTGTAATTTACTGCATTGAGGTGCAATTGACCTGAAGGAAAATCAAAGCAATATATGTTGTAAAGGAGCGGAGATAGTAGCGACCCTTGCGGTACACCTTGATTTGTTATGAAACTTGGAGATGTGTGGTTATTTATTTTAAATCTTAAGAGTTTTGTTTTGAAGGAAGTTTTTGATAAGAATTATAAGACCATCAGGCACATTAAGAAGTTTTAGTTTAAATAGGAGACCGTTGTGCCAGATGCAGTCAAAGGCTTTTTTAATGTTTAACAGGAGAATGGCAGATTTTTTATTGTTTAATTTTGTTGTTTACACATTGGAAACCAGCAGAGTGGTTGGTACCAGAGCGGAGATTTCTCCTCTATACCCAAATTGGAATTGCGGAATTCGTTCGTTTACTAATGCTGATAGTTTGACCTTAATAAGTTTTTCGAATAGTTTTCCAAAAACTGGAAGAAGAGTGATTGGTCTGTAATTATCAATTCTTTTGTGGTCTGTGCTTGGTTTTGGGATAACTATGATAGTACCGTTTTTTCCATTGATCTGGAAAGTACGAGTTTTTGTAACAGAATACAAACATTTTTATAAATAGATATGTATATTATGTTCTAGTTTTTTTACAATTTGTCATGGGATCATGTCCGATCCTGGAGCTGAGTTTTTCTGATTGGATAGTGTTTGAGTTTACATTATTCCAGTTTTCTTGTTCAAAAGATGGGTCTTTAGTTCCGTTATATGTTTTAATGAAGTACTCCTTGAATGCATCGGTCTTTTCTTCATCTGTGGCATAGTTTATTTAATATAAATTCTGCAAAAGTAAATGATAACATCAACTCAATTAACTATATAAGGGATGACGTAATTTGTATTCCACAGATAAAGACAGTGATAATTATTCATCCTTAACAGGTCACTTGTATAAAATATTCGAAAGGTTTAACAATGAATTTCCTGGTCATCAATTATTAATTAATTGCATTTTTTTTTTCGAGTAACAAAAGCCATCGATGAAAATGGTGTGTTGATAAGAATAGTTTTTAACTTCATGTGATTATACGATATCTATTTGTATAAACTTGTTAGGTTATTTTGACTGAATGTGTAGCACTCCAGAATCCAAGGGCACTATACTTGGGAGTATACCAAATAGAAGAGAGCTATCTACCTAACTTGAAGCCACTCCAAATCCTACACTTCTTTGAGAAGATAGGATTAGAAGGGTCGTTTTAGGAATCGAGACAATTTCCTCTTGTCTACGTATCAAAAACCCAACAATTGACAGCTATCCGCAAACTAGAACAAATTCAAAGAACAGCATGTCTCAACATAAAAGGAGACTTGAAAACCACACCAACCAGAGCCATGGAAATCATTCTTAGTCTCGCTCCCCTTGATATTTACATAAAGAGGGTTGCTCTGATGACAATGACAAGACTCCGTACGGTTGGAATAGAACCTTGTGTAGGATCTGATGAGGCAAAACGTTGCTTTTGGCAGGAGGTGCTCAATATGCTGCCACTACTTCAAGCCGCACATGGACTCCATCTCACCGAGATATATCTTTCATAAACCATATAAAGTTAGAACGTGGCAAATAGAAGAACCGGAAGTGGCAGGTACGATTCATATCTACACCGACGGTTCTAAAAGAAAACCAGGTTCAGGATGTGGAATGTACTCCAGACCCTTAAACCTAAATAGTGCCGGTGTAGTTTAAACCGAGCTCACGGGGATTTTCATAGCAAAAGAAGTCACCATAAACAATATCACTGGAAGGAACATGCTCATCTATGCAGATAGCAGGTTAGCACTACTCATCCTGGACAGACCACGAATTTTTCTCAGGGTTAGTACTAGAATGTCACAAAGCTTTGGCCGAAGTATCCATCAACAATGTGGTCATCCTAAGATGGATCAAAGGTTACGCCACATCGAAAGGCAATAGACTTGCTGATTCACTAGCCAAGAAGACAGCCAACCAAATGCTTTTTGGACAAACCCTTCTGTTAGCCTGACAACATTGGTAGTGACATACCTAATCATTCTCTTGTGAAATTCAAGGAAAGATGGGATGGAACAAGAAACTGCAGCGTTGCCAGGGAGCTTTTAAGTTATCCTGACAACACTACAGCAAACAAATACTTGGCTATGACTAGACAGAATGTGCGCCTGATCACAGACTATGGTCATTGCGAAGTACGAAAGTATCTCCATATCGTGGGGCTGTCAGAATCCACACTCTGCAAGGGGTGAGAACAAGATGACAACATCGATCATATCCTCTACGATTACCCGACGACGTATTAGAAGATCTGTGTTCGGCGAGTATCGGCTAACACCGGCCGATATAAGAGAAGCACCTCTTGGCGACGTTGTCAACACATTAAATCTCTAGGCTGGCTCAGGAGCTAGGAGGTGCCTATCACTTTAGGAGGATGTACAATGGGCTTAGTAAGGCATAAGTGCCGTGGGGGTAACCCACCCTCCATACGTTACAGATACAGAATACTTGGGTGTGGAAGACTCTAGGAAGGCATGTGATATTTGGAACATTATTGTGAATTGATTGTGCCAATAATAAAACATAATATTTTGAACACCCCATAAGGTATTGAAGAATATTAAATATCTGAATCAATGGAACAATGATTGTTTTAATTCTTTTATTTCGAAGTTATAGGATATTATTAGAACCCTAACATTTATAAGATAATGAGCACGGTACTCATATTTTTCAAATACTCCATAGGAAACTTTATTAAAATTGTGTCATTCAGATGTCACATGAGGCCAAAATAATTATTGAAATATAAAATGTTATGTCTGGCGGCGTATACCAGTAAATCCATAGTATTTAAATTTCGTTGCCAAGGGTCTACATTTTCCTATTTCTCATCTAGGTTTGTATTGTAGAAATAGAAATAGGACAATAATTAGGTGTCTGTTATTTATTTTAACAATTCCCTTCCGTGAATCGCCGTTCAATTCGACATTTCATCATTTTAACCATATTTTTATATAGTTTTTCTGCTTTTCTTCGATCATTTTCGTGCCTTCCTTAAAAAAATCCGTCACATAGTTTTATAAAGTGTAGCGTTTAGATGTGAAATTTTTTCCTTGAAAAAAATCCATCACATAGATTTATAAAGTGTAGGGTTTAGATGTGCAATTTTTCAATATGTTTAGGATCCCTAAATAGGTATCTCAGCCTTTTAAAATTTCTAACCTAAATTTCTTCTTCAAATTTAAAAAAAAAATGTGATCATATTTGCTTGGATTAGTCTATAGTCAATATTTTTCAATAAAATACATTTTACAAATTTATACAGTCCTTTCTGCCTGAGCTCTCAGTTGTCAACCTGACTTTTATGTTGTCGTGTTACTAACCGAAATAATGGAATCAAAACAAATACACTGGACTAACTTACTTCAAAAAAGGTGTAGGCAGATTCGATTATTTGCTTTTTTTCAAAAATAACTTAAGATGTTGTAATTTTAGTATCAAGGTCTGGTTGCTTCTCAAGCAAATTCCGATAATCTTAAGGGAGCTGCTACAGAACATTACACGGAAACAGCGTTTGATCATCAGTCTATTCCTCAAGAAATAACGGTATTAACTTATAGTTTTTCTTAAATCATTTCATATCGTTTTACCGTAAGTAAAGAAGAAAAAATAGTGTTTATGTAGTCCGAATTTCAGGCAACTAAACCGCTAAATTAAAATGTTAGATATATTTTTAATATAATAAGTGCACTTCGACTTATTTCCTTCTCCAGATGAAATAATGCGGATTTTAGTTTAATGCGTCTTTAAAGTTAAAATAAATTAGTTTTTTGATTTGTAATCTAGGGTGAGATTACAGAACGTCTGCAACTTTGCAGATCTGCAAATATGGCGGCAACTTTGAAAATCTGCAAATGTGACTGACTTACACATGCAAGTATCAAGTTTTCGTATTCCAAATTTGGGTTTAGTGTTGTGAGGGGTAATAAACCACAATAAATATTGCGAATTTGCAGATATTTTTTGGAATACTTGCATTTGTAAGTCCGCCATATTTGCAGATCTGCAAAGTTGCAGACGTTCTGTAATCTCACCCCGTCCACAATATACGTCCACCGCTGCTTTTATTAATTATTACATATTTAAAATTTCGTAAGTGAATCACACGAGGCTTGACCGAAATAATTAATTCAGCGATAGATGAGTTTACCGGCTGCAGCATGTGAAAATAACGAAGTTATTTTTTCTAATTACCACATAATTAATTTTCGCAGGATTGTTTATTGAATACACCCTCTAATTGGTCATAGGGACCGCCAAATTTAAAGCGCCTTTTTTCAGTCCGATGACCGTGAATTTTTGTATAGGAAAAATTGTGTGGTGGACTCGTAAAAATGAAATTTTAAATATGCGAGATAATCAAGCAAAGCAAGGGTAGATGTACTGTGAACTATTAATATACAGGGTGGACCAATCTTGTGGAAAAGTTCGATATCTTCTTTGTTGAAAGGGATATTAAAAAAGTGTATTAAGAAAATTATGGACAGGTTTGAGGTTAACATTTTAAAATTATTAGGAGATATACAGGGTGTTGCATAGCTCGTGTATGAACCAAACATATGTTTTTTTTAATGATAACCTCAGTATATTATTTTAGATTGTTTACTCATCTTTTTTCCATTCTTCTAATATATGGTTTGTCTATGTTATATATGGTACTTTTCAAGGAATTGACATTTTTGTGAGAGAATCGTAAATAATTCAAAGTCCAGCAGCCAATTACATACTGTAGAAAAAAATTTTTTTTACCCACACGAATTTTATAATATGATGTATTATACTTTTTTTTAGTTATATTTTTATTATCTGTTTATTTGTATACAGGGAGACCCTTGATTTTCTTGTTTTATTTAAATGGGACACCCTATATTTTATATCACCAGTAAAATCATCTGTTCCAAGTCTTTCATCTTTATAAAGCATTCCCTATACCTAAAGTTAATATTTATCGATATTTTTTAACAATAAATGAAAATTATGGTTATTTTGATAAATTAAACTAGTTTTTCATAAAAAAAAAACTATCAACAGTCATATGTGTGAATACAAAAAAACTTAAAAACAAACAAAACAATTAAAACATAATTATAAAAGTTGTTCAAAGTGACCTTCCATAACATCAATACAGTTTTGTAATCGAATTTCGAATGACTGACTCACATTTCTCAGCATTTGAACATCAATACTTTGAAATACATTTCTGATTCGAGTTTTCATGACCTCTTTTGTCGTTGCAGGCACATTATATACTTTGTTTTTTACATAACCCCACAGAAAAAAATCAATTTTTGTCAAATCCGGTGATCGCGCTGGCCACCCTATCGGTCCTCCTCTTCTGATCCACCGTCTTGGAAAGTGATTATTTAAATAATTATGAATTACTACAGTGTGATGGACTGGTGCACCATCGTGCAAAAACCACATTTGTTGGCGAATGTGAAGGGGAACATCTTCGAGTAACGTAGGCAAATGATTTTCAAGGAAATCCAAATATACTGCACTATTTACTCGTCCTTCAAAAAAGTGTGGCCCTATCACATAATCACCCACAATGCCACCCCAAACATTTAATGACCACCTCATTTGGCTATGAGTGACTATAATGTGTGGGTTTGTTGTAGAATATTAGTGAAAATTATGCCCATTTAAACCTCCATTTTTATGAAAAATCGATTCATCACCAAAGAGCAGAAAATCAAGGAAATTTCTTTGTTGATTAATTTTTTGTTGGGACCATTCACAAAATATCACTCTATTTTCAAAAACCCGTTCATCAAGTTCTTGATGTAACTGGATATGTAAAGGATGCAGTTCCGTAACTGACTTGTTGTCTTGAAATATTTCGTTTACTAATATGCGGATCATCATAAATACTCAACAATACTTTCATTTCATTCTCTTCCGTGATAGCAGTTTTTGTTACTTGTTTTTGCTCATATGATACAGTACCAGTACGATTAAAACGGTCCATTAATTTTTCAAACGCCTTTTTATTTGGTTTCCGGCGTTCCGGATATCGTTGGTGGTACACTCTGGAGGCAAGTAAAGAATTATTGTTGCACTTACCTAGTATATGAATCATATCCACCATTTCTGGGATAGAAAAATTCGTATTGTTCATCTTATTATTAGTAATTTACTTAAAACATTAACACACAGGCAGTTGCTCTTGATTTTTAAAATGTCAAAATTGTCAACTGGATGGTGACAGGTATATTAAATGCATTGGCGACTAGATAAAAAATAGCACATATTATTTATTATTGTTTATAGAGTATTTTATGAAAAACTAGTTTAATTTATCGAAATAACCATAATTTTCATTTATTGTTAAAAAATATCGATAAATATTAACTTTAAGTATAGGGAATATTTTATAAAAATGAAAGACTTGGAAAAGATGATTTTACTGGTGATATAAAATATAGGGTCTCCCATTTAAATAAAACAAGAAAATCAAGGGTCTGAGTCAATACTCAGACTCAATAGTCTCCCTGTATACAAATAAACAGATAATAAAAATATAACTTAAAAAAAAGTATAATACATCATATTATAAAATTCGTGTGGGTAATTTTTTTTTTCTACAGTGTGTAATTGGCTGCTGGACGTTGAATTATGTACGATTCTCTCACAAAAATGTCAATTCCTTGAAAAGTACCCTATATAACATAGACAAACCATATATTAGAAGAATTGAAAAAAGATGAATAAACAGAATCTAAAATAATATACTGGGGTTATCATTAAAAAAACCATATGTTTGGTTCGTACACGAGCTATGCAACACCATGTATACCTCCTCATAATTTTAAAATGTTAACCTCAAACATGTCCATAATTTTCTTAATACACTTTTTTAATATCTCTTTCAACAAGGAATATATCGAACTTTTCCACAAGATTGGTCCACCCTGTATATTATGTTTAGAATCAAATAGTAAACTTGAATTGATACTCGGTAAGTCTAAGTGGTATTACGCTGTGATGAATGTGATATTCCACCACTAAACCCTGTACGAAATTTCACAGATATTTGATATAAAAGATGGAGTTTTTTTGACACAATGGAGTTTGTATCCAGTGTTTCTGATGATTTATCGTCTCGGTAACCTAATAAAATAAATTATAAATATTCAAAGCTATTTTTAGTAAATAAGCATTGTGACATACATGCACTGGTAAAAAAAATCATAGCCAACCCAAAATCAACACTTTCGCATGAAACAGAAACAAAAATAGAATGAAAATGCTCCAAAATTTCTATTATCGAACCATAGCGTTATGCGTTCCAAATTTCACCGTCTGTTAATGATCCTAAGGCCCTAGGACACCGCAGATACTTTTTAAAAACATCGAAACTAAAGCGTGGGCAAACCTGCTTCTATCCCCGCTAACAGCAGATTTTTTGAAGAGTCCCTGTTGGCAGCAAGATTTTTGTTCGCATTTAGGAACTGCTCACGTTAAAAAATTTCGTTTGGATACTATGTCTAAGGTGAGTTCCAATGAAGATCCAGTTGTTTCAAGCAAGCAAAGTCAGTTTATAGATCAGTGTAAGCATGCGCAATTTAAAACCAACGTTACTATTTTAGAATTGAGCATGTTTGAAAAGTTTGGATCTTGATTGGAATATCTGCTGTAACAAATCTTACATTGTATGTATATTAACTAGCGTATTGTTGAGATTTAGGTTTTCTTGATCCAAAATAAAAGTGGAAGTAGCAAAATTTGTGATTATTATTTTAGGAACAAACCTGTAATAGATCTTTTAAAAATACAGGTTTTTGTAACAGGGCAAACAAAACCTGAAATGCAGGAAAATTCTGTCAGAAAAATAGTCAGTGACTATCAAATTATTGTAAAAAAACTTGTTTTATGGTACCAATTCACCTTAAAGAAGCTTAGTTATTTGTTAAAAATTCATGAAGGTCATAATATGTGAGACTTCAACTTGTCAATTCAATTTAAAATTTTTTGGCAGTTCCTTATGGTATTAACAATGAACCTCCGCTGTTCATAAAGTTTTGAAAATCTGTGGTTGTCCATTCTCGAAGCAGGTGCCTAACTTCTATAGATCTGTATGACTTTTATAATTGGCAATACTTATGAAAGTTCTTTAAATATGGACCGATTCCACCGTTGCGTTAAACGAAGTTTGAATTTTGTTTCCACCGACATGTGAACTACGTATCTTCGTTCAGTTCAAAATATAGTAGGTTTTATGCTTTGTTTCCTTCTAACGTGTTACAGAGAGCTATAAATACGGCTCGAAGGACCAAAGAAATGGTAACAGAACGGATGTTAGGCTGTCAAAAGGGGCGATTCTTAATTTAAACGATATAATTAATTGATAAATAACGTATTTGACATCTTACCTTAAAAAGTACACGACGGTTCTCTCTTCGAGTTTCAAAGTATTAACCTTTTAGATAGGTAAATTAAATCCATTCTCGAATAGAAAGTCTTATGAAGATATAAGCAAACCAAAAAGTGAAGGAAATATACTTTAAAAAAATGGCGAAGCCTATTATTAACAATAATACAGG